CAGTGCTCTCCTTTTTCCAGCTTTGCCTGAAGTCTAAAGCTATTGGGAGCATTTATTCTCCGTGGTCGGAGTGGTGTCTGGATCCTGCCCAGGAAGAGGCTGCTTGGAAAACACAAATGTGGGAAACATACCTTACAATTTAAAAAAAAAAGAAAGAAAAAAAAGCCACAAACCAAAAAACAATAAAAATTTTAAAAAAAAGCATATCTTAAAAGCTCGACTGAATGACCGACCACACCGACCAACACCAATCCAGTCCAACCCTAGCTAGATGATGTTGGGGCCCAGCTGATGTCAGCCCCTTTTTGCAGATGGTGCATGCTTCTGGTGGCAACACAGGGGTGATGCTGTCCCGATCCTTTTCTCCCATGGCCTTCATTTCCCCACTCTTTGTTCGTCTGCCGCGTGGAAAAGTATTAACATGTTCAAAATTATGTATAACAAATGAAAAATAAGTACACTTCGCACAGAGACCGGGGCAGCGAGGACGTCTGGGGAAAAGTGATTTCTGTTCAGAGCGTCTGTTTGAATCCAGTCGTTTTAGAGTTGTAAGGTATTTGTGGGTGGGGTTTATGGGAACGGGAGCAACTAATATCAGAATTTAACACCAGATTTAAGTGTCAGATTTGAGTGTCTGCACACGATGTTTTAAGGGGGTTCAGGTGTTACTGAAGGGACCTTTTTTTTTTATTTTGTCTTTTTGTAATATGTATTCTGAAAAACGTTTTATCTCCTGAATGAGGGATACTGTTTTAAAGTATTTTGTGTTGGGAAAAAATCATTTTTAATCAAGAGGGGTTTTATTTAACAGAATAGTGTATAAATGGATATTTATATAGGACGAAAGGGGGTGGAGGGAGGCATGGTTTAATTCTGAGGTGTAGGTAGGGGAGCTGAAGATGAGTGTGATGGTGTTTTTGGCTCTTTTTTTTTTTTCGTTTTATTTGGTCCCGTGTTGTAAATACAAACATATTCACATGCAACATGCATGCACACACACACACAAAGTCCCTGTGCTCCAGCCTTTGAGGTGGAGCCTCTCCTGAGCTTTAGACACGGCATCCAGGCCAGCTTATCCTGAAGTTGCAGAAGGCCTCCATCTGTCTGCCCTGCACTGTGTGCATTGGAACACTAGGCAGCGCCATTGGTCAAAGTCTAAAGCTCCTCACCTCTCTAAACTACCTGGTCTGAAAGCATGGATGCTCTCAATCTAACTCTTTAGTTTCTTTTCTTTAGTTTAGTTTTGTTTGTGTCTGTGTGTGTGTGTATTTGATGTGAAGCATGATTTATCTTAACTCTGATGGCCTGTACTGTTTTTGCACAGACACTTAAGACTCGATGCTGTTTTGGTCGCTCTTCTGAGGGAGTGAACCTTTCTGCAACTTCAGGTTATGCTTGCCAAAATCCTTCCCTGTCACCCTACCTCTGCCACTCTACTTTCATCATTCCTTCCCTTTTACAATCTCCACATTTGTCGTGACCTTTGCTAACCAGCCCTTACTACCATCTTAGTAGCACCACAACGTGTGATGATGATGTCACCCTTATGCCTGTCTCTTGTTCTGATTGTGTTCTTGAAATAATTTGTATATTGTCAGTCTTGGCTTGCTGTACTTCTGTGTGAAGTCCTGGCATTATTTAAAAAAAAAAAAAAAAAGAGAAAAAAAAGCATGTTTAAAAAGGAATGCAGCCGAGGGAATGGACAGGAGGAAATTTTAAAAAAGGCACGATGGGAAGAGGGCTACACTGGCTAGAGGGCTCTGGGACCTTCGCTGATCAACTGCAGTCAGTGAATTTGGCCCCGTTTAGTTTTGTTTTTTTGTCAGATTCTGTTGTAAATGTTGTAGCTGTTAGTGTTTTGATCTAATCTTTGATATTTTCCATTTGTTTTATGCAGAGGTTAAAAATATTAAGGGTTTGAATTGAATGGAGATTCATCCCCTCACACAGATCACTGCACACACCGAATGCTGAAATGTTGGGATAAAGATTTCTTCTTGTTAAATATTTTTGGAATTCACATCATGAAAGCACATGAGATCAAAGATTCTGCCTTTTAAGAGGACAAAAAATAACATATCTGTGTCTCAGTGGTTAAACTTTGCAGCACTGTGTCGTAGAAACTTTGTGAGTGTGTGACTTTGTACCAGTGGAGGGGTGAGGCTTGCTATCTGTCCTGTCCCGTGCGGCGCCGCTTAATAGTAACTCATGCACCACCCGTCCTGTTGCTGGTGGTCACCTAAGTGCAGAAACCACATCGATGCTTCGGACCATCACATATCTGTGCGCTAACACGGTAAACAGACTGTAAAAAAATTTTAATCATATGTGAGCCCCACCCTACTGTATTAAGCGCCTGTGCTGTGGACATATCTGACATGCCATGAAAACTGTGTCTCCTCCCACTTTTTGCACCACAATGAAGCGTTGTAAAACCAGTACTGAAACTATGTGATGTTTTGTATGGTTCAGTAGTTCCATTTGTGCTCAGTTGTTTGTTGATACCACAAATTGATGAGATGCTTTTCTTTCATTGTGTGTGTCTGTGTGTGTGTGTGTATGTATGTGTGTGTGCTCGTTTCCACGCTTATGAGAATGTTTAAATGGAATGGGGAAAATACAGTTAGGCTTTAACGACTATCTTAGAAGGAGGGGAATTTATCAGAGTTTGCCAAAGTATTTGGACAGTTGACATCAAGCTTTTTTTGGTCAATTATGACAAAACCAAGCTAGACTCAAATATTTTGATATGCTGTAGCCGAGAAAGCTCAGGCAAAACCAAAAATATTAAAGGTTGAATTCCATTAAGTTTTGACTATTTTAGGGCCCTTGCACTCACCTCTGGTCTGCTTTTGTTAGGCTGGAAGTGAGACATCATTGATGTTAATATGTGAGCTGCACAGGCTTAACAAATAAGTTTTCAGTTAAACGTTAACAGTGATTCGTCAACGTTTGTGACCTTACATTGAGTCTGCTCACAACTTTAGTCACACAGGTGGTGTGCAGATCCATCTGTATCCTGTTGCAACTCCATATTTTTTATTCTTGGACTTTTACTGACTTTATTATTCAACTTAAAACAATTCTGTCCTGTCCCCCTCCTTTAACCTCCTAGGACCTGGCGTCCACATATGTGGACAACACATTTTGGGTTATTTAGACTAAAATACTAAATTTTGCTCTGCAAGGGCCTGATATCCACTTACAAGGACATTATACTGCTACTGTTCTATCAAAATTTCAAACGAATATCCTATATATGTGGCTCTTACTTTTCTTAAAAACAAAAATAAGGTTAAAAAAAAAATCTGGTAATTCTTGGTTTTTACATTCATTGAGCCCCAATATGCCCAAATATCAAAGAGAAATTAAAAATGCATGTCGTGGAAGAGTTCGGGTCTTAGGAGGTTAAGGTAGCTTATTTTTCCTGATTGGCTGCCCCTCACAAACAGAAGGTTTGAACAGGAAGTGGCTAGAGCTGCTATGCTCATCCAGAGTTTTGTGCATAAAATATTAACTTGAACCAGAGCTTAGAGCATGAGATTTTGGGTTGTGCATATGCTTACCTGGTTACTTTGAATTGGGTGTGTTTAGTAAAAAAGAGAAAAAACTATTATGGAAATAATATACACTTAAAATTTCATCTCCACTTTCTTTGATCATAATTAACCTTAAAAATTAGATATTTCTCGTGTTTTGCTTAATTGCAGGTGGCAACAACAAGCCAAGACAGGGACTGCTAGTAGCAAGTTACGATGGATCTAAACAGTGCGTAAGATGATTTTAGAAATATCCACTTTCACGAAGCAACTTTAATTAACATGGTCCAAATTTTATAATTCATGCAGTTTCAAAGAATCTTTTTCTCAACGTTAAGTATAAACTTACCTGCGAGTCGTTCAATTTTTGAACCCTTACCTAGAATAATAAAGACCTGAAGATCTAGTTTTGGTTTCTCAGTTTTCCAGTTTCTGTCACACCACATATAATCCATATTTCTCCTTGGCTGATGTCAGCTGTTGGATAAATCAGCTGCCTGATCACTTTAGGGCACAGATTAAAAAGCACCAAATGCATATAAGAGAATAATGATTCCCTATACTTTAAGTAGCTTTCCTGCATTTGAATTCTTTTAAAAGTCCTATTGTGTTCAGCAGTCAGGTTCTCCAAATACTTTGGCAAATGTGTGAAATGTGTTAAGTGTACCCGAGTGAACCGAGGAGCTGAAAAGATTTGAGAAAAGCTTAAAACAGATGTTTAAAGAGAATAATTTAAAAACCACAATCTTTAACAGCAACACTATATATGCAGTTTTACAAATGGAAGAAATATGCATGTCTACTTTCTGGTAATTTTTCACTGTTTACTTGATAAAGAAATGGAAACCTATGTTATTTGCATCCTCAAGGTTATGAAAAGGCTGAGATGTTAAAATCAATCGCTTTAAAATGCTTAAAACATTAGCAAAAGCCTTAGCTTTTATGTGCCCCTTGAAAGTGAATTTATTGCATTGTAACCTTACAATAAAAAAAAGGGGAAACATATGTCAGAGTTTCAATTGGATGCTGGATTTTTGCATGACCATACAGTTAATAAACATACATTAAAAAAAAAAGTGGTGTGGTTTTTTTTATTCAAAGCTTTACTGTTAATGTAAAAAATTTTGCAATATAAACAATGTTAATATATAACTGTGGAGAAAACTACGCCTGCAATGAGATTAAAGCAAGTTACTTACATTGGGTTTTAATGTACGTGGTTAAAATGTGTTCATTACCCAACCCACTCTAAGGTTTGTTGGTAGTTAAACGCAACATGAAATTACACAGAATATATTGGTTCATCCATTTCTGTACCAAAACCCACTTCTAGGGTGCACCAAACACCCCTTTATTCAGCCTACATCGCCTCCCATGTGCCTATTAGGGAACAAAGTCCAGTCTTCATGCATATTTTAAAGTTAAATGGGCCCTGGGAGACAATGTTCTATTTTCAGAGAAAATTAGAAGCTTTTTTTAATGATCAGTATGAGTAAGAAGGGATCATTTGCAAGCACGCTGCAGAACATTTTAACTACTGTTTGACGCAGAAAATACGCAACTTGCCTTTAAGAATCATACCTCTGACTCCTGGTCATCCTTCTCCCATCAGTGAGCCTGGATGAGGTTCGATTCCATCGCTGACTTGATGGTTTTAAGTTGGCTGAATGTGAAAACGTTAATATCTCTCTATATAAAGGCAGCCCTTCCTTTCTCATCATTTTATCCATTAATGGGTATTTTATAACAAAGTCTGTTACATAATTATTCCCTTCATGCCTACATCATGATGGTAAAATTTATTGCAGCACTTCAGTACTAGACTGCATTAACTTTTAACTATGCGTATCTACTAAAGTTACAAATTAACATTACACTACACCAGCTATTGCACTGGTTATTTTATACATATTTGGGGTATTTAAATCTGACTGTGTAAAGTTACTCACACACCAATTCTGCTAAAATGTAATAACGCAGAAATCGAGAGTAATTCAGCAGTAAGATAAACAACCAAGTACTGCAAGAACTACATTTGAGTTGCTGTGTTTTTCACCTTTGAAAAAGGAAAGGACCACAAACAGTAGCTCAAATAGAACTCCAGCACTGCAGCGCTGTTGTATTAGACTACACTCTCATAACAGAGTACCCCGACTATATATACATACACACACAATAAACCAAAAGCGCACACAGGTAGTCTTGATGAATTTTAATTACATCAAATGAATTCATGTAAAAGTGGAAAAGGAGGAAAACACTGGGTCTCATCACTGCCAACATGTTCAACACAACAGAAGTATGCACATGCTCCGTTTGCACTGGGCAGGTCGCAGGTCACCTATACTTCAGACAGATTTATTAAACACTTCCTTACGGAGTCTCTTTTTAGAATGTAAAGACTATGTGCTTTTACAGTTATTATCTGGATTAGAGCAACAATGGAAGTGATAAATGAGATGCTTCAGTGCCATTTGGTGAAATGAAAATGAAGGGTGAAGATGAAGTACATGTAGGGTTTTTCTCAGGGTGTGTCTCTGCCTTATAGGTGACCTGAAACACTCCCATGATAAGTCTCTACTTCTCTCTCACACTACCTTCACTCAATCAAGCTGTCATGGCTTCCTGTCCGAGTCCATTTGGCATCCTGGCATGTTTCCGTTGAACACACATTTCTCTTTGATTGGATAAAGGAAGCGGGTTGATTGATTGATTGCTCCATGCAGATTGTGATTCTTCGGACATGCTTCATGTTGTCTTTGTTTGTGCGTTCTGCCCAGTTACAAAATGTTTTAGGACCATGGCACTGGGCAGAAGAAGGTCTGTCTCACTGGTTCAAGGTTGCCCTGTTGGCTGTTGTGTGAACACTGGCACTTTAATTTTAGTCCACAGAGACTAGTGCATGTCTAACTGTCCGTCACACTGAAGGACACGTGGCAGTGCAATCTGCCATCGGAGTCTTAGTGGAAAGAAAACAAA